GGCAGAGGCAATCTACTGAGGCCATCAGCATGGCCCATTTCTTTTCCAGGCTTGTGGAGTAAAGAAAAATCATATGCAGACAAAAAAATAGACCACCTAAGCATTCTAGGGGAAATGATTTGGGGAGTCTGCTTACGTGTGGTAAACAGTCCCAGCAGAGGCTTATGGTCAGTGAAGACCGTGAAGTGCCTGCCATATAGAAAGTCATGGAATTTTTTAATTCCAGCAACAACAGCCAGAGCCTCCCTGTCTATCTGAGCGTAGTTGCGCTCAGCAGAAGACAATGTTCTGGAGTAATATGCAACAGGAACCTGAGTTCCATCAGACCTGAGGTGGCTCAGGACAGCTCCAACCCCGTAAGGGGACGCATCACAAGCGATGCACACAGGAAGGGACTCGTTGAAATGTGCAAGTACACTGTGCGAAGTGAGCAAAGCCTTGACTTTGTTAAAACAACTCTCATGCGTTTGTGACCACTGCCACACTGCTTGCTTGTCTAGTAGCCTGTGAAGAGGCTCAGCTACACTAGCTTTTTGTGGAAGAAAAGAATTGTAGAAATTCAGGAGGCCCAGGAAGGCCTGAAGTTCGGCCTTGGACTTTGGCCTAGGTGCTTCTAAAATAGCAGTTAGTTTGGATTCAGCAGGGTGAATCCCAGCAGCATCAATTTTGAACCCCAGAAATTCAGTAGAAGGCACCCCAATCTTGCATTTGTCTTTTTTGAGCTTGAGGCCTGATTTCCTGAATCTTAACAGAGCAGCCCTTAGCCGTTCAGCTAGAATGTGTGTGGAGTCTCCTGCAATCAAAACATCATCAAAGTAGGGGCAAACCCCTGGTATACCTCATAGTGTGTTTTCCATTACGCTTTGGAAGATCCCAGGAGCGACATTCACTCCAAACTGTAGCCTTTTTACTTTAAAGGCCCCTCTGTGGGTCACAATAGTCTGAGCTATAGCAGCATCATCATCAACAGGCAACTGTTGATATGCTTGAGCTAGGTCAAGCTTTGCAAAAACACGCCCCCCCTTGAGGGAGGCCAGAATGTGACTGATCACAGGAACAGGATAGGCATGTTGCTGCAATGCCTTATTAAGAGTGCATTTGTAATCAGCACAAATGCGAATGTCCCCATTTGCCTTTAGAGGCGTGACAATGGGGGTCTCCCAAGGACTGGAATCAACAGGTTCTAGAATTCCCTGTTGGATCAGTTTGTCTAACTCAGTGTCAATTTTACTCTTTAAAGCAAAAGGGACCCTTCTTGCTTTAATTCTAATGGGAGTGACAGTGGGGTCTAGCTTTAAGGACACAGGGGGTCCTTTGAATGTGCCCAGCTGGGGGCTGAAAACATCTGCAAATTCTTTGCAGACTTCCTGTAGGTCGAGTGTTTGTAAACTGTTGAGTCCTGTGACGTGTATCCCCAGGGCCTCAAACCAATCGAGTCCTATGAGACTCGTTCGTTCACCCCCTACTACTAATAAGTCTAGTGGACCTTCAAAACTCTTGTATTGCACGTTAAGGGTGGCCTCCCCCTTAACACACACTCTTGAATTTTGAAAATCTGTTAACACAATGTCAGAAGGCCTTAACTTGGCCTGAGTTCCACTACCGGAACAAATCTTCCTAAATGTATGCAAGGAGATGATTGAAAGGGCAGACCCTGTGTCTAGTTCCATAGATAATGGAACCCCTTGTAGCTTCACCTTGAGTGACAGCTTTTTCTTAATGGGCTTGTGTGTGCCTGTCCTAAGGATGCTTCTTCGCGAAGCGCAAAACCCTACCCTATTCTGGCTGGGGAATCTGGTACCTTTCAGGCGCAGTTCTTCCTGAGGTTGTACCTTTCGTCGGCCCAGACACACAGCTGCAATGTGTCCTTGTTTGCCGCATGCCCGGCAGGTAGCGGAGCGGAACTTGCAGTCGGTTCTCCTGTGGCGACCTCCACAGCCGATGCACTTGAGCGGAGCTGAAGAGCTTCCCTTCTGTTTTTCTTCCTTTGTGGGGTGGAGACGGTCGACTTCCTCGTCCGGATCCTCCTTGGAGTTTCTTTGGACGTCTTCCTGGTGCACGGATGCAATCTCTGGACTGTTTCTGATCGGCCGCATGTTCTTGACAGCGCCGCCTGCTGCTTCTTCTGCGGTGACTTCCCTTAAGGCATCTTGGAAGGACAATTCTCTGTTGTAGATCTCGATGCCTTAACCCGCACACGAATCGATCCCTCAGTCGTTCTTCGAGGTCTTTGAACTCGCAGTGCTTGGCGGCCTTCCGTAATGCGGCGATGTATTCTTTGGCCGACTCGCCGGACCATTGATCCCTCTGCTCGAAGGTGTGGCGCCATGCGATGACGGACATCTTGGGGTGGAAGTGCTCCTTCAGTAGCTTCTTCAGATCTGCGTAGCTGACAGACTCTACTGGAACAGGTGCTGCAAGGTTTTCTGCGATGTCGAAGGCGTCTTGACCGCAAACACAAAGCAGGGTGGCAGCCTTCAAGCTCTCTTCCCTCACTTGGTTTGCCTTGAAGTAGTTCTCCACCCTGGCTACGTATGACTCCCACCGCTCTGGATGTGAGACGTCGAATTCCGAAAGCCTTCCGATTTTCGCCATCTTCAGGAGACGGGTCTATCAGCCAGCCTACCCCCGAATGCGCACTGGATTGGAGGGTAGCTGCCGAGTCGACGCCGTTCCGCCGCTCAGGACTCACTTGGGTAAGCTTACACTTCTTCCTTTCCAGGCGGTGTAAGGCATCCCACCTCGTCGCCAGTGTTGAGTCCTTGGCGAAAAGCAGACACGAGAAGCAGTTGGAGTTCTCAGTTTTCTTTATTCTGCGTTCAGCTTACAAGTAGATGGCTTCATGGCTTCCCAAACGCTCGCAGCCTCTTATATAGGCAACTCCCGGGTAATTGTGTTACTTTTCCCGCGCCAGCACCCGCGCATGCGCATGGCGCTGGCGACAGCCTGTCTGGTCCCGGGCAGCTTTGCACCTGCCCGGGACTGCCTGCAAACGCCCGAGCCGTTTGCAAGGCTCGGGACATAACACAATCAGTTAAATATGACCCAGCAGTATGCTGCAGCTACCAAAAAAGCCAATGCAATCCTAGGCTGCATCACAGAGGGATAGAATCAAGATCATGTGAAGTTAGTGCTGCTTTACAATGCCTTGGTATTGCCACATTTGGAATATTGCATCCAGTTTTCGTTACCACAATATAAAAAAGATGTTGAGATTCTGGAAAGAGTGCAGAGAAGAGCAACAAAGATGATTATGTGGTGGGAGGCTAAAACATATGAAAAACGGTTGCAAGTATTGGGTATATCTAGTCTAGTGAAAGGAAGAACTGGGATGACATGATAGCAGGGTTCCAATGTTTGAGGGGTTGCCACAAAGAATAAGGTGTCAACCTATTTATCAATGCAGCAGAAAGCAGAACAAGAAGCAATGGATGGAAACCAATGAAGGAGAGAACCAATCTAGAACTAAGAAGAAATTTCCTGACAATGGGAACAATTAGCCTTCAAAAGTTGTGGGTGCTCCATCACTGTAGGCTTTTAAAAAGAGACTGAATGGCCATTTGTCCAGAATGGTATAAGATCTCCTTGGGCAGGGTGTTGGATTAGAAGACCTCCTTTCCAATTCTGTTATTCTGTTAACCACAATTTATCATATGAGGATGTTTCCTGAACTATGAACAAATGCAGTACCCAGAACTGCAGGAAACTCAAAGCAGCTCCACCTAACTGTTTTTTTCCTGAACTGGATATGTAGGTTCTGGCAGAGAAAGAATCAGGTGGTCTGGTGGAGAAGAAAGACTGAGGGCAGAGAGCAGGTGGACAGGGATGGTCCAGGAAACAGGCTTTCCGCTTTCAACCTAAAATCTCAAGGAAAAAGCCTGGGAAAGAATGTTTCCTCCCTGTGCACTCTGGAAGGACAAGCTTCCTTTTGAAGATGTCTAGAAGCAGTAATTGAGAAGGTCAAGTTTCTAGTAACTTCCCTGCTCTCTCTTCCTTTTGGCATGCAATTCTCCTTTCTCTGATTTCTGGTTTTTCATTGGGTTTCTGTCTATTTTTTTGTCCCTCACTTCATTTCATGTCATCTTTCCTAATCTCATGGCAATGCTGCTTGAGTTTTATGTTGACTCCTGGTAGCTTCATGGACAGAGATATATATTTACATTGGTAACAATACAGTATAGGAATGTTTTGCCATTGTCTTCTTCCAGGATTTTTACAACTTCCTAACCTATAGGTAATCTAAGTAACCTATAGCCTGAAGTTTCCCATTGGTTTCTCATCCAAGTATTAACTGATAGGGTTGTCTAGTGTTTTTGATTCAAGTATTTTGGAGAACACAAGAGTATGAATGTAAACCTTTTCTGAAATTCCTTAAAACCTTTGAAATCAAAGGGCTGCATAGGGCCACTAAACAGTCCTGTCCATTTGGCTTTTCAAAATCAAATAAGTCCAGATAGGTGCTGTTCCATTAGTTGACAGAATTTCGTAGCTAGAGAAACAACAATACATTTCATTTTGCATAGAATCTGTGAGAAAGAAATTATGATTCATATAATAATGCATTACAATGTTTAAAAAAAAATCTTCCAGAAAGAGACACTCCCATGTTTTATTATGTATCAGAATTTACTTATTATATTGGATTCTAAATGATGACTCTAATAAGACTTAGATTTAGATATAGCTAGCGTCTATCAATACTGAATATGATTCATGGTTAAAACATCTATTGACACTAGCATCAATAAGGTCAATTGATTGTGCACTTTAAAGTTCAATAGAAATACAGTTTAAAAATTCCTGGCTCACAAACTTTCTCACATATTTTAGCAGCAATCCCATGGTAAAGCCAAGCAACCAATTGCTTGGGGAAAATGGCTCTGTATAGAGTCTATTTATATCCAAATTTAAGCTTATATTTAAGTTATAAATGTTTATAAAAATGTAACATCCCAAGTAATGCTTAATAAGGATCTAAAGATGTAGATATAGAACTTTACCTTTATTTTTGATATCACCAGCATTTTCTCTGTCATCCTGAGCAAACACGTTGTGGTCCTCATCTACAATAATAAGCAACATGTATATAAAATGTCTACTGGAAGATTAATTGTGCCACAAAATGTCTCATCATCTACACTGCAGAAAAAGTATACCTTTTTTACTCTCATTTATAATCCAAGTACATTTGTTAGGATGGCAGTTAATAACCCCACCCCCCAAAAGGTAGCTGGGTAGGACGATAAGACATAGCAAGTATTTTGTGGGAATCCTGCCCTGGTTTCTGATAGAAATAAAACTATCCCATGGTAAAATAAGTTTTTTTCTCTCTAGTGGCCATTTGTTATTTTTATTCACTGCAAAACAAAAGCAGTAAGATGACACAGAAGCACTGATTGGAAGCTACTTTAGTAAATGAAGAGAATTTATGGCCAATATGAGGTAATCCTCAGGAGATAAAAAGTGAGGGTGCTCACTAGTCAGTTTGAAGAGTGGCTGTCAGGAGCTGCTTGAAATGCCATAAAATAGTCATAGCAGTATTACAACTACTTATAATAAGAAATATGTATTAAGATATAAAATTCAAATAGCTATAATGCTTTTGTTAGAATCATATCACAATGAATCCTGTTTGCATAACCCTGTTAAGAATGAAAGGGTTTGTCTAGAAATAGCAAACTCTTTTAAAAAGCATTTAAAATTTTTATTTATTTATTTATCTATCTATCTATCTATCTATCTATCTATCTATCTATCTATCTATCTATCTATCTATCTATCTATCTATCTATCTATCTATCTATCTATCTATCTATGCTTCCCCAGCAGCACACAAATATTGACCAGACTGAAGAGTTCAGTGTACTTTCCACAAAATAGTTCTGCACGGTATGATGTATTTTTGCTGCTTTTGAAAGAAAGATGGCTGTAAATATTTTACTAAGTACTTGTTGCCACCACCACCTCCCATTCCTCTACTGTAGGATATGACAGATAAGAATAAAGGAAGGTGATTAGAAAAAAGACATGAAAAGAAAGGCTTAAATCTCAATCTCAGTACAAGACAAATAACTAACAAGGCCCATTCTATCTTCTCTCCCCAAATCTTTGCCATCAGCTAATTGTTTAAAAAAAAATTCTTAGTGTTCTTATTCATGTAGTCCATAGAATGAATCTCACTGTATTCTTCCTGGTTTTAAAACAGTTTTGCCCAATCTGATGTTTCCAAAAGGTTTTGAATCACAATTCCCAAATATCCAAACAACAAAGTTTTTTGGCTGGCACAGAATTCTGGAGATTGTAGCCTCAACACATATGTAGGACTTCAGGTTGGAAAAGCTGCTTTAAAATGTTGCAAAATGCTCAGATGGAATCACTTCAAAGAAGGATTAACATGCACTCAATCTAGATGGCAATGATTTAGCTGTACATAAACTGATATTTGTTTATCATAAACAAGCAGCTATGTTTGTGTGAAATATAACCACAGCAAAAATATTAATTGCATATAGTTTACTGATTTTAGGAATCTTGCAACTTTTCTAATGACCCTAAACATAGAATGAGACATACTCTGCTGTTTACCAGTGCAAATATGTTCGAACAATATAATCATATTATGACCATATTGAAAGAATGCCTTCTTTGACGTCTTCATAATGCAGTGCCGGTATTAAGCTGCAGCTGTAAACTGGACTAATCTCTAATCTGTATTTTGCTATGATTTCATTATAATTAGCACTCATGTAGGCAATTCTAAAGACTTGAGTGTGTTGAAACAATTTATTTCTGACCAGTTGAGTTCACACAATCAGGTTAGATAAAAGACTAGGTGTAGGAGATGACCAGGCTAAGCCTGAGAGGTGAAGCAGGTTATAAATCTATAGTCCAGCCCACCTTGAATTCCATAGACTCTTATCTACTGCCAATTTGCTTTGACCATTTCTGATTCTTGTAGAGAGCTTAAGCTTGCAATAAATCTATATATTCATTTGAACTGCCTGGACTCCTGATTGTCTGTGCTTGACACTAATAGTTTTATCTGCACAACATACTAAGTTACATTAATGTTAATTCTGGTCTGTTTTTTTAATGATTTAGAATGGTAAGCTCCTGCTCCAGTCCTGCTCCGCTGTCTTATAGTGGCAGGGTATGTGTGGATGTTCTAAAGCCAAAACAAGCAAATTAACAATGAGCAGCAGCAATACAGAAAGAGACTAGAAATGTATGATCATTGTATTATAGATAGCAAAGGCATAATCTTATTTTGTACGGGAGAAAGCAATTGTAAACCACTTCTGTATTTTATCAAGAAAACCATAAGAGTAGGCCAGATAAAGGAAAATATGGTGCTTTAATGCTCAATATGCTACTTAAGAAGGGCTCAGGAACTTTTTAAGTATTAATGATATTTATGAGGCAGCTAAAGTCTTTGGGACACCTAGTTCCTGATGTTGCCATCCAAGAAATGAAGACCTAATGCTACAATGATAGAATTACAGTGGGACTGTGAAATGTAAGCATGAACATAAGGAAGTTCAATCCACTGAAAGATGGAATGAATTGACTAAAAATTAGCATCCTAGGAATTGGTAAATTGAAATAGATTGGAATTGGATACTTTCTACCAGAAGATTATACTGCATATTATTCAGGATGCAAAAACAAAGAAGGAATGGCATCACTTTCATAGTCAGGAAGGATATAACAACTACAGTACTACACAGCACTTGGCAGAATGCAATTAAACTCTGCAGACAACTCTTTAATATGATGATTATTCAACTTTATGTTCCAACCACTGATGCAAAAGAGGAGGTTGATGAATGTTATATATAAATGTTGATTTAAATTCAAACTTAAATCAACAGAACATGCAAGCAAGATCTGTAGCTTGTGGTTGGAGATGAGAATGCCGAAGTTGGATATGCTAAGGAGGAACATTTAGTTGGACTCAATGGCTTAGGAAGCAGGATAATGATTTATTAATTGCTACAATCCAGTGATTTATTCATTGCTAAAATAGCTTTCCAACCACTAAAATGATGTGTACATATGTGGACATCACTAGGTGGAGTACTGTCAAGTGCAAACAACCAGATCCAGATGTGAAGGATTCAAGATAACTATTTATTGTGTTCTATCTATAGTGCAAGAATTTCCCTAGATAAGGTCCTATGCAACCTAGGGGAGGTTAGGTGTAAGTCTCTTGTGGCTGCCAAAAATTTACATTACCTCCCTGCTTGATCCTTCTTCATTGCCTGGCAGGGAATGACCCAACAATACACTCCCCACATCAGATCCCTCTCTCTACCAAGTTGTGTTTATTGCCTGGGATCTCACAGGAACTTGGGGATGGGTGGGAGCAATGCCAACTGAAAGAAGTCTCCGTCCCCCCAGTCTGAAGACTATTTCCAGCCATGCAGTGCATCCTGCAAAACATCCAGATGGTTAGAGAATTCCTCCCTACTTTCCCTCAGGAAGTGAAGTCCAGAAGATAAAAGTCGAGTCTTGTCTGCTTCAACGCTTCCCTCTAGAGGGGCCCCCGCTGCCTGGTTAACTCCTTCATTTACTGATTCCTCCTCAGGCTCTAGGATGGAATTGTAGATTGGAAGTTTAAAAAGTTGTCTGGGAATTGTTGGTAAAACTGCTATACTAATTCAGAAGTATGCACGTTTGTAGCATTTTCCCATGAAAGCTCTGCTTCTGGATAGCATTTCCAGTGAATCGAGTACTATATGCTTTTACCCTATCTCCTTGAGTTCAATATTTCTTTCACCTTGAACTCTTTCTTGCCTTTAATAATCAGTGTATTTGGGTGTATATGTGTTAATGGCAGTTGTGATCATAAAAGGCTTGGTGGCACATCTCTGACTAGCAATGAATGATAGAAAACTGGATGGACTTTCATAGATGGTGGCAATTGCAAACAAAAGGCCACAATATTTACACCCTGTAGACCTTAAAGAAACCCACAAACTTTTATCAAGTTTCTTCGAGGATCTGATAGAAGCCAAAAATTTGGCCAACAACTACACTTTGTTTCCCTCAGCAACTGTGTACTTCTTATTGCCCTCAGGGGCATGGGCTCTTCCTCTCCTGAATCAGCTGTGGGTGGCATGAGGGAAGGGAAATCTCATAAAACGAGACCTAGCTCATTTGATCATCCTGCAGTTCCTCCAAATGGAGTCTATATGTACACAAACTTAGCACAATCAGTTCAGTCTGGATGTCAGTATGCAGACTTTGCCTGAACTGGTCTATCAAGGCTGCTTCATTCCAATCCATATTTGCCACCAATAATTTGAAATCAAGTATATAAAGCCTCGCCCTTCTGTTGCTTTGCCTGAGTTACCAATCTCATGGCTGGCTATCACATGTTGGTGTGAATGTTCTTGGTAGTTCCTTGATAAGGCTGTTGTTTACTGTTATCTTGTTTGTCTGCATTGGTAGTTTCTTGACTGGGGTATTGTTTACTTGATAGTTGGTCTAGTGTTAATCTTGCTGTTAATATCTGCTCATATGGATGTTGATTTCTGGAGAGAAGGTGTTTTGGTCTTTCTATTTCCTTTTGAAATTTTTGACTGTCTGTTTTGAGTGGTTAAAAACATTAACAAAGATAACAGCCTAATCAAGGAATCACCAAGAACTTTCCCACCCACACTGACAGGGCAAGCCACTAGCACAGTGATCCTCAACCTTTCTAATGCTGTGACCCCATAATACAGTTCCCCATGTTGTGGTGACCCCCAAGTGGGTGTGGCCACCAATAAGAGGGAGTAGGACAGCTAGGGAAAAGGGAAAAAAATGGCGGACAGCATGGTTTGGCGACCCCTGTGAAATGGTCATTCGACCCCAAATGGGGTCCCGACCCACAGATTGAGAACCACTGCACTAGCAGATCCCACTCCCTGCTATGCACCAATGATGTTACCTAGTTTGCTAATGAATCTGCAAGAAACTCACCAAGCTCATAGAGAACCAAGGATCCCACACCCAATTGTTCTTATGTAAAATTTATAAACGGGTCTGGAAACCACAGCATAAATGAAACATGGTGAAA